TTTTTTCGGAGTCTGTTATATAAGTAGGAAAATCACTGCTGGGACATACATCCCAGCATGTGCATAAGTTAAGAAATGCAATGGTTCAACACTATCGTTTTATTGAACATTTCAATACAACAAATGTACAAAAAAATAATCCAGCTTAGTTTTACAGTAATTAATTCTGTCTACATATGTACATGTGTTGCCTCCTATTTACTAAGCTGTATTCTCATATTACATTTAATGTTCATTAGTTTTTCAAATGTATTTGGTTTCAGGAGGCACAAATGTATTTGGTTTCAGGAGGCACCTTGTAGGAGTAAAGATACCACTTTTGTCAGTAATTGCAGCATACATGTATTTTTGCTCTTTACTGAACCTGTAAGGTTTTTTTTTTTTTTTGATGCGTTTATTTAAGGTCGCCGCCGGAAAGCCCATATGGGCGACCGTACACTCAAGTCGGATCATCCTAGAGTGTCCCGCCGAGATTTTTTGTCGATTTTTTCCAGCTTTATTAGTGGAGGAAGACCCCAGGTGCCCCTCCGGGCATTATTTCAGGCACGAGCGGGCACCTGGGTAGAAACACCGACCTTCCGTAAGCCAGCTGGATGGCTTCCTCACATGAAAGATGAAAATGTATTTGGTTTCAGGAGGCACAAATGTATTTGGTTTCAGGAGGCACCTTGTAGGAGTAAAGATACCACTTTTGTCAGTAATTGCAGCATACATGTATTTTTGCTCTTTACTGAACCTGTAAGGTCTTCTCAATTAATGATAATATACCTATCCAGGCCATTGTTATAATTTCACACCTAAATTTAAGTGGTATAATTGTGACAATCATTTATGTATTGGGTCAATCTGTCAGTGATCTTTTCACCACCTTATTAAAACACAGGTGTCATCAAATCTCACCTGGGTGCCTGCATTTAATTTATCTACAATACTGAAGACAATGAGTAGGCATTGACACTGGTACTTTTTAACTTTTATATGTACATGTATGTTTGTTCAGAAATTTTGTTTAGCTTAACAGGTATTGTAATCATACATGTAATCATTGTGATTACTGATTAATTGGTCTTGTAATTGATTAAATTATGATTAAATTACAGGAAAAAAAATTATGATTACTGATTACTGTGATTACTCAAAAAATTGTAATTGATTAAATTAAATTAAATTACTGATTACGATTACCCCATGTCTGATTCTAACACTTCTCGTGATTTTGTCACTAGAGACAAAGAAGAAAAAAAACCGGTGTTAAATTGCCAATAATCACTGGAAAGGGAATATTTGTATATGCGGCTGTTAGTTAACAAAGCCATTTAAAGTAATAATAAAAAAGCATTTTTATTTATATTTTCAGTTTTTATAATCTTTTTTCTCATACAATACCGAAATAATATCTCACATACACTAGATCTAATGCTACAGATTTGAAAACATATCAGTGACAAAACGGCGCCAATCCGTATGCAGCTTAATGACGTAATTCTAAGTATATAACTCATTTATAAACGCTGACGTCATTTCAAACATACAATAATCACAATACAATCCATTCTAAGATGTAAATTTTTAGTGTTGAAAATTTGTTAAAGATTTCTTTTTTCTTATTTTTTCTTTTGTTGAATAATTTCTATATCTTAGTAACAGAAGGATGCGAAATCGAACAGCGTTATACGGAAATCGGAACAAATTAACATTAGTGATCTCCCTTATTTTATCTTGTTAGAATCGAAATAATATCGGTCTTATCGGTGTTTATCGGCTATTTAAAACCGATTTTGTCGTTTTGATGCGAAAAAATTAACCACTTAGGCCTACGGCCTTCGTGGTCAATTCCTACGCATCAAAACTCCAAACCGGTGATAAATAGCGTAGAATTACGAAATATTAATTCAGTTTTACGAAATAATAATTCGTTTTTACGAAATATTTATTCGTTTTTACGAAATATTAATTCATTAGTACGAAATGTTAATTCGTTTTTACGAAATATTTATTCTTATTACATGCTTTTCGGTGGTTTATAGAAATATATCCGTGAAATAAAAACTGATAATTACACTGTTTTAAACAGTGAAATTATCAATTTGATAATTTCACTGTTTTTAATATTTGAGCCCGTTACGTTGTTTCAGTGAAATACAAGCGTTCACAGTACTGGAAACCAACTTAATGACGTCACGTCGTAAATGACGTCACGTTGTATTATTATTTTGCGCCCTTTTCAACTAGTACTAAGTTAAAATGCCTTTTTAAACGTTTCTTTGCATATAATAAAAAGAAAATTTGTTTAGTTCAATGTAAGATTGAAATATATTTCACCTCGTGAACACCAAAAGTTCATATTTCACTCGTGGCTGCGCCACTCGTGAAATATACCTTTTGGTGCTCACTCGGTGAAATATATTCCGATCTTACACTGAACTAAACAAATATCCTCTATATTATTACGAAATATTAATTCGTAATTACGAAATATGAATTCGTTTTTACGAAATATTAAGTCGTAATTACGAAATATTAAGTCGTTATTACAAAATATCAATTTGTTAAGAAATAATTAATCGTTTTTTACGAAATATTAATTCGTAATTACGAAATATTATTCGTAATTACGAAATATTTATTCATAATTACGAAATATGAATTCGTTTTTACGAAATATTAATTCGTTTTTACGAAATAATAATTCGTTGTTACGAAATATTAATTTGTTTTTACGAAATCTTATTTAATATGTATAATAATATAAATTATATTCATATACGAAACTCGGCTGGTTAAGTGTTAAACAGAACAGAACAGAACATGAATTTTAAATACACATTAGTATGTCATGTTGCGAATTTTGACGGCAAAATGTAATAACTTTAATGACAATGAAAATATAACAAAAATGTAATTAACGGTAATTAAATGTAACGTTGATAGTTTTAATTAGCGCTCAATTTTTCATCAATGGAATTTCCTCTGTTCTCATCTTTGTTAGTGTACACTATATGATACTATTGATGTATTTAACACTTCAAGAGTGCAATATTGATACATCCCACAATCTATCATTGAAAAATATTGGTTTTCTATAACCAGATTTGTATAGAGTTTATTGCTGAAAAAAGGCCGGATTTTATTACATCGCTATTAAGTACATTTATTTCACTACTCGTATTTCGAGGGGATTCAGAAAAGCATTCTCTTTGTTGTTTTTTCTATCCCATCTAGTATCTATGGCGTTGAAACGTCATTTCATTATCGAATTAGTGGAAGCATACTTATTTTAATGTCTATTTGTAGTACTTAATCAAAATTAGTGAAGGTAAGGATCAGAAAAAAACCCAGATCGCAAATAAAGTTAAGTAATAGATAAAATATGTAGATCATTTTATTATATTTTGGAAGTATGCAACAAAATATTTTAGCCGATGTCAATTATTTAGCTGTAATGCTTCCAAAAAGAATCTGATTTCAAAAAAATCAATAGGTTCGACAATTATAACGGAATTAATATCACCCCGTCCAAGTACGGAATTAGACCTGACCCGTTGCAGTCATAAAGATCATTCCTTAAAATGTTAATACAGTGTAGTTCCCAGGTTGACTAATTGTACCGGTATATGTTAAAGTGTGATAACTTCAATTTTTGCCTCCTTACTTATGGGAATTATAAGTATAATTATTGTACTCATTACCACCAACATGACACTTTAAGCTAGACAATTTTAACGTTGTTTAAAAACAATTGCAGAACAATGTGGATCCGAGCTTCGAACTATTTCTTTGGTGAAAAAGTTAGACGTTGATTTCTTAACAATGACGGTATCAAGTTATGAATTTCCATCACAATAATATATGTCAACTTTTTTCCTGTATGCTAGTTAAGTAGCCACCTCGACCTAAAACCAAACAGTTTTCATCTCTGAATATTTTTATAGGTAACATTATGGAAAGTTTAAGAAAATTATTCTGGCTTGAAATTCTACTTTCCTGGTAACAAAAACTTGGTTCTACTCAGACCTATCAGGAAGATTGTATATCTTGTTCTTTTGAAGTCGCGGATTTGCAATTCATCAATATTTCGCATTTGAACAGACACACAGGCAACGGAATATATAACCTGATACCGTATACGGTAACGTATTTGGTCCATTAACAGCCGGAAACATAGCCCCATAATGTCTATTATGCGACGTAAAACTAAAATCTGAGATGTACTATATAAACTGGAAGGCAAAACATAACAACACTTTTTCATTTAAAGAGACAAATTCAAACATGTTGTAGATTAGTTTATATTATCAATATATACATATGTCTGGGGAAAATGAAACAAATTGTAATATATATATAATTTGTATTGAATTTTGAATGGGTTATCTACACATAATTTCAACATCCATCGTTGTGTGTATATTAGTTTCGATTTTTTCGATGTTTTGATAAACTTTGTAGGTTTGTGATCTTTTTATTCTATAAAGAATAATATCACATCTTATAAAGAGTTAGTTAATAAGGAGTTACGTAAGAGATAATAATCTGTATGTGAGATAATGATTGACTAGCGAATGGGTAAGTGAATTAGTGAGTGAGTACGTAGGTTTGTTTAGTAAAAAGAGCTTGAAACTGATTAATTTCGCCAGAAATTTACAATTCAAGCAAATAAAAAAAAATTGAAATATAAATCAAATTTTTGGTATACCTCGATATAAATGGATTAACATTGATTAAAGATATTTATTCTTTGAAATTGTAGGTACCAATTAAACTATAAATTCTTTTAACCACACAAATATAGCAAACTGTTTTTTTTCTCAATATAAGAACTGAAAGCTATTACATAACGGGCTACAATAGTATCGTATTTATATATCACAATTCAAATAATGTATTTACAAAAATAAGATTTTCGAAGGCTCAGACTGAGATGTTTCCAATTGTAAAACAGTTAGAAAAAAAACTAATTTTATCAAGAAAGAAATATTAAAGACAAAAATCTAACTTACCTACAGTTGTAAGCAGCATATTATCTAGAAATATCGCTATAAAAACTATAAATAGGATCAACTTCCGGGAACCTCGACAACTTGCCACATACTCTTTTACTTTTTTCACCTTGCTTGTCGACGCATCTAAAAAAGTCATATTTTTGTGACCTCTATCCCACTACTCAAACAATTTATCACGGAAACTTTTTCTTAATTTCTCCGCTAAAGTATAAATGCTCTCTTTTTTTCTATTTCACTTTTATTATTATTATTATTATTATGATTACTATTTTTATTTTCTCGTTTTGAATACTGAGAACCCTTCTGTTCGCTAGAAATTAATATCCCTCACGAAATAAAATTCCAGATTTCATGAATTATTTCAAGCATTTTCTTAAGGGCAGAAAAGTTTTTGTCCTTCGTTTCGTATGAATATTTGAAAAAAAAATCTCAACGCATATTTCACATATTGTAACTTCTCCGTAATTTGAGATAGCATCTGCCAATAAAATTCCAGCAATAAGACTTAAGTCCAATATTCCTCCCGTTTGTGTCTCACGACCATGATTTATTGACTGTTTAAGCACGGTCCGTCCATCCAGTTTGTTCACAGTTGTGCGCTATTTGACAAATAAATAAAAGAGTGTTTATTAGCATGTTACATGTGGGAGTAAATACTAAACACTAACAGAACAGTCTTCACCTGTATCTGATTAATTGATGCAGATTTCAATAAAACAACTGTATAGTTTGTTTATTTTCATGCAAGCAACACTTCAGTTACATGTAGAGATAATAATTTATATTCAAATTGCCTATTCACAATGCTACCATTTGCATTTTCAAATCTCAAATGAGCGAAAATATAATGAATTCACAATGTAAATGAATAAATAAATCAATATGACTATATCAAATTACATTTTGTTGTTTAAAAGTATTTACATTTTTCTTATATTATATTAAACAGCATTAAAATATACAACGATAATGGAAACGATTTTTTTTAATTATTAAATGATATAATATTTGTTTTTAACTGAAAACTGATATAAAACACACTGCCAAAGCTAATTACGTTTTGTTTTCCTTAACCACCATATGTCTTTAAGTTTTAGAGGAGCATGCATCAAGTTTTTTATCAACTGTGCTAATTTGTATTCTTTGTTGAAAAGTGATCACGATATTTTTGAATATGCAGATTCAGTTTACGAAAACATCAAAAAAAATATTTAAAGCGTTTAGTCATACTTTGCAATAAATTAGCTCTGAATGATTGATTTTATTAAGGACAACCATTTATGCATGGCGTAAATTCTGTGAAAGGTTCAAAACGAAATTAGAATACTTGACGTATTGTATAGTGTAAAATACTTCAAATCTGCAACAGTCCGGTATATAGATAACACTAATAAACGTTACATGTATTGAAGTGGCATTCAACAACAAGTTATTATAGTGAGCTATGTTGGGTCTATAAATATGATTATATGAATAACATATCTCTTATAATAGTACATAATTCTCAAATGAATCCTTTATTTATTATATACGAATAGGATAAACATTTCATAGCAACACCTGCTTTTCTCTATGATTCACATAGTGGCCTTATTAGCCTCCCGTGCATCAAAATATTAAATAAAGTTATGTATATATTTGGTATCATTCAGTAAATTACTGATGGCCACCTTCTATCAAATTATAACCTTTAAGGACTAAAATGCTGACATGTTCGGGGTCTGTACTCTCAGTGACTTAAAGGTTGGATGGACCCTCATGAAGCCAAGCATACATACATACATTGTAAAAAATACTTTATTTTCTAATTTTCGTTAGAATAAAATGTCCATACTGTATCAACAGTAATGAGGCAAGCAGTTCAAGCCCATCACAGATTAAACTATTTTCCCTTTTTGATTCATAAATATATTCAGGATTATATCTTTTGGAAAAGAGATTGAAAAGACAACTGACAACTTTGCCAAATACATTTGTTTTGTTACACTCTTTTGTGATTTCTTTTCATAAGAATAAGCTTCGGACATATTTCATGATACCTTCTTTATTCAATGTTTCTTCTCGACTACTCAAACACATTTGAGACGTGTCACGACAAAACCAACATAATGGGTTTGCGACCAGCATGGATCCAGACCAGCCTGCGCATCCGCGCAGTCTGATTAGGATCCTTGCTGTTCGCTTACCAACCCTAATACAAGTAGAGAAACTGATAGCGAACAGCATGGATCCTGATCAGACTGCGCAGGCTGGTCTGGATCCATGCTGGTCGCAAACCCATTATGTTGGTTTTGTCATGACGCGGCTCATTTGTATTTGAGCCTTTATTGCCCCGCCGCCTTTGTGGTGCTGTTGTTTTTTCTTAAATTCAATTTTTCTTCTTTTTTTCTATTTCTTTAAAAGGTAAGATCATTAGTTAGCCGTCATGAGATTTCCGTTTCAGTATATTCATACTGTTTTTTGGCATTATAAGCCTACATTACTGTTTTCATATATAGTAAGTTATTTTACACATATAGACTGTCACCAATCAACTTCCAACTTTGCGCCATGTGATCCCAAAGTATAAAACACAACAATCCTTTGGACATGATATTAAAGATGATTTAATTGAACTTGACCATAATTTTACCTCGGCACTAAAGATCAAATTATTGAATTTTTGTAACAATTGGCCATTACTTTGTTATTTATTTACGGATTTGATTTATACTTGGACAAAAGAACCCGTACGACAAAACTGACATGTTGAATAATTTTGATATGACCTTGACCTTAAATTAACCTTGAAAGTCACGAACATAAAATTGCAATTTGTTTAAATTGTCATAACTTTGTAATCTATGTACGGATTGGATTTTTTTATTTATACTTGAACAAAAGGAACACACATGACAAAAACGACATGTTGATTTTTTGTGACATTAACTTGACCTTTCTATTGAGATTGACTTTCAATGTCAAAAAATTGAAATTTGCTTAAATTGCCATAACTTTGTTTTGTTTTACGCATTTTGTCGCTAGACGTGAGCTATATACGGAAAGACGGAATATCATTTTCGAATTTGATGTACGAGTTGTACTGTTACAGTTAAAACTGTGATGATAAGTGTTATGACGTCGGGTGAAAAGAAAATAATATAGTCTACGACATTTTGGGACAACTCTCGTACATATCCGACGTAAAAAAACACTTTCTATTAATATGTAAAATCATACAATTAAATATAATATGCATTTTACTTTCTGTCATACACACGGATCAAAATTATTTGCATTTGTTTTGTATTTCTAAAATTATTGTCATCTACTGTAATATTACAACTTTATGAGCTTTATTGATTTTGTGTTATGTCTGACCTTTGACTCACAACAATATGGAGAATCAATAGAATGAGAAACTATAATATAAAAAATAACCACTTATTTGAATGAAGCAAATTTAAATCAAAGTATTATTAATTATTCATTTTCAGGAAATGTTTCGAATAATATTTCCTTTCACCAAGTAGGAAAACAAATAGGATCAATGAGGCTCGCAGTGAATGCAGTAATTTGGATATAATGGCTTATAGAATTACTCTCGTACTACACACAAATTGTATTTAAAACAGAAATTTGGAGAAATTAGCAACGATCCGCTTGCAAGATACTGTTTTCGACGTTAAACAATCAAAATAATTTGTTATAAGAATCAATAGTGACTTTGTCCTGAAGTTATATAAATATTGGTGATAGCTTTACAACGTTGACAAATAGTTTTGTCATCCTGTTTAACTGAGTATATTTGTAAGAGCCGGCCTAAACTAGATAAAAATCATACGCTATAGGAACAATTAAGAGACTGTTTGTACAATCGATTACATGCGATAACAATAATGAAAAAGATAGCGTGGGTTACCCGCACTTTATTACAGATGATCACAAAGGCGAATGACTATTGAATTTATTCTCAAACAAAGATATGCGACCTTTATTTCTTTCCTGCTATTACGTAAATGCATTTTGTTGTGTTTTGTTTACTGTCGGATTGATACCAATCCAAAGGTTTTCTGAAAGTATTTTGATCAATGAAACATGCACAATTAATTGATGAATGAGCTGAATTTCTCCAAAGACAAGGACTATCGTTAGTGTAGACATGATGGTTTTATCACTTCGTTATTCAAGAGATTGTTATAGCTAGTGGCATTATTTTATGATTATAGACGTTCAGATCAATAGATAGTTTTTAACAATAACAACAACAACAACAACAACAACAATTTCTTTTATAATTATTAGATTACAAGCATGTACGAGGAGTGTTCAAATATGAATGCATCTAGAGCGTTATATTGTCCAATATTGCGAAAAAATCGAAGAAATGAAGGTTATCGGGTAGATATACATGTACATGTTAGCTTTACATTGATACCACAATCATTAAAAACAGGCCACTATGCATCGCAAGAATGTAATATATGTCATTGGGACCCGCCATTCAGGCTGCTGTTCCAAAAGGCAAATCAGTTAATGCGAAATTTAGCAAGCCAAAGTTCTTCGAAAACTAAACAAATACTTTCGAACATGAAGACCCGCAACAGGGTTTGTCAATGTTTCATTGCTGCATGACATCGCTTCATGTCACAAGGCGTTTAGTGCAAGACTTTTTGAAGCATGCAGAAAATAGTCATTGTGCTCCTTTATCCTTCGATTTAACTTGAGCTTCTCACTTGTGACTTGTTTTTGTTGCCAAAGCTAAGAAATACCTTTCAGGTCGGACATTTGTTCAGCGCAAACACCTCGGTTCTGAAATACCCAAGTGTCATAGACTATAAAAGGCCGTCAAAGATTGGATCCGGAAACACTTTTTATATCTGTTAGATGTTAATATTTTGATGGAACAAAATAAAAAATCCAGTGAAACCTCTGAAGAATCAAATTTACGAGTGCTGGGATGCATTCATTTGTAAACATCTCGTATCAACATAACTCATTTTTTTTAAATATAGGTGTATCGTTTACCACTATTTTAACAGAGTAAATTTTTTTAAAGTTCTTATTTTACGTCATAATCTAAATATTATTTACGTGCGTAAAAACTTTAATGATAATAAATAAATTAATATATTGTTTATTATTTGTTCTATTATATAGTGTTTTCTTTACTTTTTGTTCTTTTGGTTTTGTTTTATCGATTTATTGCGGGTCAATGGTTTAGAATTGCGTTTTTACACGTAGAAAATCGAGTGGGGACGACCTAGCAAATATACGATCTTCCCTCCGAAATATTGATTTGTTGTTCAAAAACGGTTTAAGTGGGAACAATAATGCTATTGTCAACGTCTAGTAATGTCATTTAGCTGCAAATTGATATATAACTTAATATGATTTACGTAAAAATGACTTTGCAATCTGGACTTATACTGGACTAGTGGCATTCTGCCGATTTGGCGAGTTCGACCCCTTGTCTATATATTATATATAAACTATTTTGTTTTCTTCTAGAATTACTTTTTTACACTATCCAAACACTGTGCCAGGTTCCTTTGAAAGCGGCTAGCAGCAAAATGTTAGCGTCTATTTAACGATGAACATCGTAATATTTATTTGCACC